CCCCCCGGGGGGGTAATTTCTCGCTTTCTGTCTCTTTGTCTCTGTCTTTTTGGTGAGTAACACGCCCTATAGCAAAAACCTCTATTAAAAAAAAAAAAAAAAAAAAAAAGGAGCAGGTATTGCAGTGTGGCCATTTCTCACTTCTCACTTTCCCTTTATCACTCACTGTCTCTCTCCAGTGATCACAGATGCAAAACAGCAAACTAAAAATAAATAAATAAACAAACAATAAAGATTGAAAGCCTTTTTGAAGAAAAGAAAATTGTGCAATTTCTCTAATATAAAACTTTTAAAATCATTTCTTGGGACCAGCAGATGGCATGGTGGTTAAGGTGCTGGATACTCCCACATGGCTGACCATGGATCTAGTCCTGGACCTGGTGGCTTGCTTTCTCACTTTGTCGCTCTCTCTCTCTCTCTCTGGCTCTCTCTGGTCAAAATAAAAATAAATTAATGAATAAATAAAATTAAATAAAACAATTCTTTAACAAACAAAAAAATTCTTGATGTTATTCTATTTTTAATTTATTTCCTTTTTCAAAACCATTTACTTTAAATGGCTAGGTTGATTATCATCATTTAATATTATGTACTTTTAGTATAAACATTCCCCCCTCATATCTACTAAAATTAGTTTGGTCTTCAGTAAGCATCCCTCCTACTAATCATTGACCTTGGGACTTATTTGTAGCCCAAAAGAATAAAAAATTAAAGATAAATAACAATGATGGAGGGGGGAAAGCAGAAGACTAGCAAAGTAAGAGTGTAACGGAAAATTTACTTCGAAAATGTGTTCATAGAGATGCCTCAAGGGAAGCAAATAAAATAAAAAGGTCCAAAGCAACCTCAATAACCATACCAACTTACTTACACATACCACATACCTATATATGCATTCATACTCATATATACATATGTCCTTGGGTAAAGTTACAAATATAATTACCAGACTAAAATGAAGTTCTGATTACTAAATATGCACTAAATAATATTGACCTGAACTCCAGATAGGTATGTCGATACACTAACACTTGTAATAATGTTAAACTTATAGAAATCATCCAGTATATCTCTAAAATAGTAAACTTGTGATAAGCATTAACAATGACTACAAGCTGATAGACCAAATAATCTACTTGAATCTGTAACAGAAGTTTTACACTGACACTACAGTTACCCTGAATAACTAGCATATATTCTTTAAAAAAGTATTTATTTAATTTTTATTTATTATATTTTAGTTTGACCAGAGAGAGACAGAAAGTGAGAAAGCGAGCCACCGGGTCCTGGACTCAAACCACAGTCAGCCATGTGGGAGTCCAGTGCTTTCACCATCATGCCACCTGCAGGACCCATCATTAATACATTTTAAAGTAAGTATATATGTGATCAATCCATAATTCTTTTCTAGTTAATATTCATTCAAACAAGAGTCATGGGCGCTGTGGTAGCACATGCTAGACATTA